CTAGTAGTGGGAACTATCGAATGAATACTATCGAAACATTCGATAGTTGCAATTCATTCGAATAATTCGATAGCTAGTAAGAAAACATTCGTCGAAAACTATTCGAATAAAAATATCGAATAGATGCGTCATCTGCCTAGAAATATATTAATTCGGCAGCAAAAACCATTCATTTATAAAATTCATTTATTCGTCAGGATCGATTATAATAAAATATAAACTGGATTTTAGTTGTCGCACGGCGACGTAGGTTTCTTTCCTAGAAACCCGACAGCGGTCGATGGCAATGGTATGAAAAAAGCCGGCATCTTTGATTTTGAGTCAGATAAAGATAAGGACACATTATTTTTTTTATTGAGGTGCTAGTATTTACACAGAAAATACATTATGAACGGCGCTGTTGCCGTATATTCGTATTAGTTGGTATTAGCAAAGAATATTATTCTTTGGTATTATAGTTAGTTAGGGATAGTATGACTATATATTTTGCATTTTTTTATTAATATTCTGTTGTTACACTGCAATAATACTTTATATTTTGGATGTAGGAAAATGATTTTTAATGTTTTTAAGCAAAACTGGTTTAATAAATAATAATAACAGTAATAATTTGTTATACCTATTAACACAAAAATTTAAAATAATTTAATATAAACATTTTTTTAAGTAGTAGCAAAATATAAACAACAAATTAGAAGTCCAAATTATTTATATTAGATCCTATTTAAAAATAATATAGTTTCTAATTTTTTTGTGTGGCAACGTTGGTTTATTAAATAATAATAATTATAGAACTAATTTGTTATATTAACAACAAATTTTTAAATCATGAAATATAAACATTTATTAATTTTCTAAGCATGCAGTGTAATAGAAGAAAAATATAAATAAAAAATTAGAAATCAAAATAATTATATATATGTGTATTACTTTTTATTACTTTGTATTAGTATTTAAAAATAATATTTGCTTTTACTGGCATTTACTTTAAAAAATAAATAAAATATTTATTCGCAAAAATCTAAATGTCAGAGAATTAGAATAAACAAAATACAAAAATCGTTAACTTTTTTTTAAATTGGCACGTGTAAAACTTTAATCAATCAATTTAATTTTCCCATCCCAAAATTTGAGTTCGATAACCATTTACTTAACCACATTACTTAAATATGATTATTAAGTTCAACTAATTCATATTACTAAAACATCTAAAATACAAATACATATGTATTTTTAAAATTAATTGTAAGTTCACCTCATCTCTCTTAAAAATTATTACTTCTCAAAATTTCCCATTAAAAAAATAGACCATATACCGTATAAAATTAAATAATTGAAAGATCGGAAAATCACACAAATTTTCGGAAAAATTTTGACCACCTGCACACGTACACAATCAACAATTTAAAAAAAAACCACTACTACCGTATGATCGAAAAAAAACGGCGTCCAGTTGGCTGGGAAATGACGATCGATAACATTTCCCATATAAATTTACATATAAAATGACAGCGATCTTCATTTCATAGCCATCGTTGACGCCGTTTTTTCTCGATCATACGGTACTTTAGTATTTTAATAAACGCAAAAATAGCACAGTATTTAGAAGGCAAGTTATAAAAATTTGGAAGGACTAATAATGCACTGACGCAGACAAAAATCAAATGAATACTAAATTTCATTTATAAAAAGCATTCGATAGTCGTGGATTAACGATAATCATTTAGTCGCACGGCGAGGTTGTCACATATGCTTTAGTATACAAATGAATGAATGATTTTATTCGAATGAAACCATTCGATAGTTGAAATCATTCATTCAGTAACCATTCGATAGTTTAAAATGTTTCAAAAACCAGACTCAGAAAACAGACTTCAATGTGCTGAAGTTTTCAAAAAAAAGTAATTCAAGTCAAGAAGATATTATCACCTACGGGATTCGTCTATTCTATCTATTTTTTCTTTCTATGTACGGAGCTCCCAAAAAAAAAACCACCTGCTTAGATAAGTATCGAAATGCATGTTTCGTTAAAACACTCGAAGTAAAAAACAGGTACAATTAGCTTATCTTGCTCCAATCTCAGTTGCTGCTCATCCACATCTTTTCCGGGTATATTACCAAGTTCAAGTGGGGCTTGGTTATTAGCTAGACCCAAAAGACTGGGGCTGGAAGTTGGTACAATACATTAGGACCAATTCAGACTTTACTCCCACCTGTGCCGGAAAAACTGCTAAATACAATTTTTTGCAACTGTAAAAAGGGATGCAGTTGCAGTGCTAAATGTGTAAAAAAGTTCGACTGTTTTGTTCTCTGGCATGTACAAATTGTCAAGGCCGGTCATGTTCTAATGTTGAATCACCGATAGTAGAGGATTCGTTTGATACCAACGAAGAAACATGCAATACATCACTATTGACGCAGTTTACTTACATCCAGGATGAAGAAAACGAACAAGATGAAGATCAAGAACAACAAGAAGAAATATTTGAAGGTTATGAATCAGACTAGTAAATTTCTAATTTTTTTTATTTCTATCGCTTTTATAACCTTCCAATCCTTACTATCTTTTATTCTGCAATAGTTTTCAATTAAACAGAATCACAATAGACATGTGGAGTAGGCCTACTGGGGAAACCACGTTAAAAAAACGCGCTAAGTACACTACCTCATAGGTGGCGTGGAAACGTGTGCATATTGTGACGATTACAATTCTTTGACTCGTTATATCTCAGAAACTGTGTCTCTAAGGAAAGAAAGTGTTCATACATTTTTTATAGAATTTTATGATCTATAATTTATGTCTGAGGTAATTTTATGGGAAAACTCACCGTTTTGCTGAAAATCGCGAAACAACAAATTTTTTCGAGATTTTTGACGTTTGACCTCGCATAACTTTTTTTCCAGGCACCGGAATGATTCGGAATTTTAAAATGTTATTTTTAATTATGTTTTAAACAATTACACGCATTTTCAGTTTGTTGTAAATTTATATAGGTACAGTACGTCTGTCCGTTCTGTAGCTACGGGGTATCCGTGAGAGGGGAAACGATATTCTCCCGATGTTTTTCGTAAAAAATTAGACGACGCGTCCCATCAATAAAAATTCGACAAATTTGCAAGTAGCCAATAAAATGAGTGGGCGTAGCGATTTGCGGTGACGTACTCCTCAAGACGACGTATACAATATATTGCTGTTTATTTAAATGTTTTTTGTCCGCATTCCTTTCATAGACACAGATCCAGCAGACGTACTGTACCTTCAAATGTCTAGACTGACCGCACTATACAATTTCATAAAATTGAATATAGGTATTTCAAAAAAAGTGTAAGTGTGATAAACCTTGCTCAAATTTAACTTCATTTCAATCGTAGAATCTAAAAATAAAGTAATATATAGGGTGTTCCATTTAAAAAAATATAACTTTGATATTATTTATTTGGGACACTCTGTATATTGTAAAAATATTTTTAAATTGTAGCTCTAATAGTCCTTCAATGAACCCAAAACTTGTAAAAATCTAATCGTTTAGCTACAATACTAGTTGTGGTATGTGGTGAACAACCCTGTAGTTGTAAATTAAATATAATTGAGCACACTGTAAATTTTGTATTTATAGCTAAAGTAGGGACTTTTAGAACGGCCTAGAGAACAACAGCATAAAGACGAGAATACATCTCACGCGACCAGAGATATAGAGATTATGTAAGAAAGGCTACATCATAATTGGAAATGGTTGAATAAGCTAAAAATTGAAAATGATGATGTTGATTGTGATAAACTTTTCTACTATTCTGTGTTTCTAGTGTTTTTTTTGTGTAGAAAATAATTTTTGTTAGTGTTTTAGCGGGTATAGCCAATTAGTGATAGTTCTTTGTTTAGTATTTTATTTTTATTATATAGACTTTTAATCATATTTGGTACTGTAAAAGAGTGCAAGAATAACAGGAAAAATACTGGTCTTCATACGAACATCAGTTTTCACTTGTAAGTTATATTTATGTTATAATACTTATTTGTATAACCTAATATTATTTATAAAAATTAAATACATTAAAAAATTAAATGTATTTCTCGTATTTTTCAAATATATATTATGATTCTTTCAAATTCTATTATATTCTATTATTATATAATCATTACAATGATATACTTATATCACGTAGTAGAAGGATACTACATAAATACATATGTTTCAAGATTAATTCTGATATTATTTCTATATATTGTTGAATATTTTGCATTAACTATGCAATATGTGTGGTGACCTGGTGATATATTAACATATATGTAAAATTTTGTTTAGAAAATAAATGTTAATGATATTCAGTTTTTGTTTTATTCTCTGAAAGATATTGTAACTCAACAAATTTGTAACACAATAAATTTGAAAAATTCTCATAATGTTAGAGAATGCATTTCTTTCTATTTTTTCTTTAGTTTCCAATATTTATTTGAAGTAAGTAAGAATGTTTTAAAGACATCCAAAATTATTTTCAAGAAACGAAAATAATGACTAAAACAAACTTCTTAAAATATTTATAGTAAGCTTTTATATACAAAATTCCTATGATAGAATACTAAAATAATTATTTACTTTTAGTATTGAAAATATTTCTGGCCGCGTTTATATGGGGCCCATCTTGAAAAACGACATGCTAGAGGCAACATGAGTTCAATAACCTGCCTAATCAACTTGTCAACACGTAAGTCGATCGCAAGGCCGTTCGAGGGCCGAAATGAGGTCTTATTAGTGTGTGTGGGCCAACTATTTTATGGATATGGATGTTTATCTGGGAAAGCCGATATTATTATAAAAAGAATATGCGTCAAGGCATGTGTTGTTAGGTACAGCTATTATTTAATCTAACTCTTTCCGTAGAGAATCAAGAGGCAAATTATACGTGAAAGAGCGGAATAACATAAATAATAAATTTAGACTAATGCAATATTTTCTTATATGATATAAAAGGTGTTTTATCGTATCGTTAATATACTAGACTTACTTATCAGTTTGAACCACACCATACATTATTTCCGGCTTGTGACAACCCTGTAAAACCAACTGATTGAGTTCGTTAACGATTTTCACAGCGTGCTTCAGTTTCGTCTTGTATTTCGTTGTTTTTTCCGCATTGTCTTCGTTCTGAGCTTTCAGAGTTTCATTTTCCAGCTTCAGCTGCTCGATTTCGTTCTCTAAGCAGCCGATTCTTTCTAGAATGCTCAGTTCGTCTTTTTTGTGCAGCTTTTTTAAAGTATCGTTTTCCTGTCGTAACTTTTTGACCTGCGAATATGCGAGGGAAGAAATTGTTTTTAAAGATCAGATTAAGATATACAGGTTGTCTCTAAATAAGTTCCAGTATTTTAAGGAATTGTAGAGGTCTGGTCAAAAGAAACATATTTTATATTATCTACTATTTTTAAAACAAATTAAAAACAGCCGAGTTATCTAACTAAAATTTAAAAAATCATGCTACATTTTGAGGACCGCCGACATTATCAGGCAATTCGACTCGCTGTGTTGCTACATAGACTAGAAAATATACAAATTAGTTTGATTGAAATTACTTCGTAATCGTAATAGGGCGAAAAGGGAATCTCCAATAATTGTTAAGATAATTTGTTTATTTTTAAGAATATTGGTAAACTGTTTTTCTTGAAATTTGGTACTCTTACACACTTTTTAATGACAAAGCGAATGGCGATAGTGTAAAATTCAAACAGCTCACTATATGGTAGAGTTTTTTTTACGTAAGAAAGGTGCTCTTAGTTTAGTTGTATACGGCGACGGTGAACGGTTTTTTAAGATACTCGTATTTGCGTTTAAGGTTAGGATGCGTCGATTTTAGTATTAGCGAAATCATGAGATTAATTTATAATTTCTTTATATCTCATCATTTCGCTAATACTAAAATCGGCGCATCCTAACCTTTAGACGCAGATATCTTGAAAACCGTCGAACGAAAATCATATCGAACTAAATGAATAAGAGCACCTATTTTACGCAAGAAAGTCTTAGCTTTTCACAGTGGCGGCTCGTGACAGTCGTGACTCGTGTGACTGGGTAGGCCACAAAATTTTAGTTGCGTCTATTTGTCCCCCTCCCTCCTAAATTTTCATAATACCCTATCCCAGTTCGTAGATATATGTTATCTCTGGGTTAAAAACATAGCTCAAGAATATTTAGAACAAAACTAAAGCAAAAATGACAACATTCAACGAAATGACATAATGTATTAGTATATGTTTTTTTTGAAACAAAGGCGTTTGCAGTACTCCAACGGTCAAAATTATTTTGTATTCTAACGCAACGACACAGTCAGCGTACACAAGCGGTAGGCGGTAGTGAATATTTTAATATGCCAGACCACAAAATAATATTGATTATTACAACACACTTCCGTGTATTAACAGTATTTTTATGTATTGGCAACATTAACAGTAACAAAAAAAATAAACCGCTTAAATTCTGCCAAAATTTTAGGGTATTGCCTACCCTGACGAGCCGCCACTGGGTTTTTAATATCATTTGTTGAAATTACTGTATCTATATAAGGATAAAAAAAAGTACGACCAGTAGTACTTTCTACCCTAATGTAAAGTACCCTTTTAGGGCTAAGAAAGGGTACCATTCCAAATTTCAGGATAAACGGTTTATCAATATTCTTAAAAATAAACAAAATAAATTATTTTTATTTACAATTTCGAGGGCTGTAACTTCTTCGGGAAGCGTTTGAGGGCATACGTTCATAGTAACATTTTGTTTCATTTTTAGCTGTAGAACAGCCCACCGAAGTTAGATACACTATTTTTTGACACCCTGTATACCTACTTAAAATTAATTTTCATATTAATTAATATCAATTCTTATTAATTAGTTAATGTGTGTAGAAAACTTCACACAAAAATGCAGAATATGGGTGACGTAGCCGGTAGCAACATTGCAAAACGATCAAGAAATTTCTGGTGAATGAACCTGCCGCACTAAAAAGTTTTTTATTTTATTTTTCATTTAGATTGATTAAAAAATGAACAGAAGCCGGATCAAGATATATTGGCAGCATATTTTAACAATTCTACTTAATTAACGATTCCAGTCAGGAAATTAAATTATTTACCTCTTCGGCATAGGATTTTTGCTGTTCTAGACACTTTTTGCTGCTCTCTATCAGCTGCTTCTCGTTCAGTTTGACTTGTTCTTGTAAATTAGCGAAATCTTCGACGAATTTTCTTTCTGTATATGTGGAACGTTTGACCAAATCCATATTTTTTGTGTTCAATAAAACAATTTCTTTTCTTAAAGCCTGATTTTCCTGTTCTAATTGCTCTTTTTCAAATAGCAATTTATCGGCGTCTTGAGATTTCACAGATTTCTTTTTTTCAACTGTTTGATTTTTAGACATGGAATTTCGGACGAAATTAGTTTGTGACATTTTCGAAATTTTGAAGAACTTTTTGTGACACGTAGCGCATTCTATGTGACAAGGCATTTTTAAATGTCTTGTGACAAGACGTTTGGGCATGGTTTGGGCATCTTTTTTAAGCTATAGATGAAAATAACCCAGTTATACAGGGTGAGTCTTAAATAAATGCAAATATTTTCACAGAGCTGGCTGATCTTGATAAAAGAAACATATTTTCTCTTTACCGTTTTTCAATTAAGGTCAAAACTTTGAATAAGAAGACTAAGGAAGGAGCATAATGCTATCCATGTATTCATGCATGGTGGGCGGAAAAGCCATAGATAAATGCAACAAGTTTAGATTGGAAAGCCCGTAAAAATTTTGGGTCGCGAAATTATTTTGGGTCGCGACCGTTATACGCGATCTGGCGCTACTATAGCGGTCGCTAAGAACAACGGCAAACAAAAACAGAAATAATTTTCTCTTGTCAAAGTCAGAATCTTCAAAAATCATAATAATCTTTCAAAATCTAAACCGCTCTCATTAAAGAAATTCCGAAAAGTGTTTATAGCGTCCATTTTCAAAGTAATTATTGCTATCTTGTGAGTTTAATTCAAGTTTTATTTACTCCAACCGGTGATAATTTTGAAAAAGTGGCATTAAAAACATAAATAGCTGTGCTGTGAACTGTGAACTGCAAAAACCATCGTGGATCGTGGCATAACGTCGGTTTCCAATGTTTCATAGGTATTTCATACATGCGTCCTTATATAAAATAAAGTTTATTGTATGCAACACACTGTATTTTATTTATAAAATTAAACGAAAATAATAATAAATTTGAATAAACAATATTTGGCGATATAATTCCGGAAAAAGCCGAACCGCTCCGAAATTTTCAAAAGTTTCGGGTCGCGACCGTTGCAAAAATAGCGCCAAATAGTGTTTACATTGTCTTTATGGGCACTTTCCAATCTAAACTTGTTTCATTTATCTATGGGAAAAGCCACCATAAAAGCTCTCTAGGGTGGGGATCCTTGACAGTTCTGTTTGACGATTCATTTGACACATTTGAATTTGATTTGAAATTTTGTGGATTTGTCAGTCTTTACGGAGCTTATTTTATGTTATTTATTATTTATTCTACTACTGATAGTTGTATAAAGGTAGTAAATCTAGATGGAAATTGTGGCAGAACTTAAATTAACAGTGACACTATCGCGATTTATCGAAAAAGACTCGAAAATAGTTGGTTGTGTAGTGTGCGGTAGATCTCGGCAAAAATCGAGTGAAATAATGGAACAACTTTTCGCTAGTAAGTGACTATATAATATACATACGTGTAGTAAACCGATCATTTATAAAATTCACTTAAATTAACTAAATTATATATTTTCTTGCATTTTAAAAACTTTATTTACTACTTGTCAAAGATCAGATGTCAAAGAATTTTGATACGTTAATTTGACTTACCTGCTTCAGTAGCGTATCGGATGTTTGTGATAATAAATACTTATTATAACTTATCTATTTTTATTAGAATTATATATTTTTATAACAATTTTAATAACTACCAACATTTAATCACAACGTAAAATAAAACAACAAATTATTGAGTCTACCCCACGTCTATCCTACATCATAGTTTTACATTTTTTAAAAAAAATTAGAACGACACTGATAAACCGGAATTTAAGTCGGCCATATTTGAGGCCCATCGCGGTGTACCTAAGATTTTTGATATGCTCCTTCCTTAGTCTTCTTATTCAAAGGGTCAAAATAACCGAGTTATATTTAGACATTTAGACATTTATTTATTAACACTAGAGCAATAACAAAATTTTAGTTTAAAGCTTAAAAAAATATAAATAAAGTAAAATAAATTATGTTAAGGCACGAATTATAGTGAGAACACCAACAATCATTATTAACATACACAATTTATATTAGCATATAAATGTTGTCTTTTAGTATATTATAATATAACTATAAACTATTTTTTACGCTTTACATTATTTATATTAGATATTAGATCTAAACATTTATTATGGCAACAAATATTTATGATTTTAAATACATTTTTTTCTTATAGATATATATTAAATTATTGATAAAAAGGCAGTGTTATAGCACCAAAAATACATGATAGGTACTTTAAATAAATTAATATTTATAATATATATATAAATTCTATCGAAGTCGAGAAATTTTCTTTGCTTTGTCAACACAGGGTGGCGGTACAGGCGGTTTGTTGGTTAAATATCGATTGTAAGTTCTGAAAATATAAACAAAAAAATAGGAAATCTTTATCAGCCTTTCAAAATCATATACTCTATAGATGGATATGTAATATTCTATGTATGGTTGCACCATACATAGAATATTCAAAATAGGAAACTTGAATTATTTTGTTACATTTCTAGATCAATTCTGTTCTGTATAAAGGGTGTAAATAAATAAGAGCTAAAAAATTCAAGAGATGAAAAAATAAACATCAAAAACGTATACTTACATTCTGTATGCTTCGCTCCTCAAATAGTCTTGTAAATGGCTGATTCCCAAATTGAGTTGATCCAGTATTGGCGGTACCCAAACGTTACCTTCGAATCTGAATTCAGCTTTATTGGAAGCCATGTCCAAGTTGCCCAGTTCTGGCGGTAAAATGGTTAGACGGTTGCCTAAAAATGGAAAAAGGTGAAGTTCCTAGATGAATAGAGTACCATAACAGTTTTAAACAGCCGCTACACTATCCCCGAAATTTTTACACAATATTTCTGGAAATATTTCGCAAAACATTTCTGAAAATAGTACGATAAATATAAGCTCGTGGTAAAAAATTAATTCACACATTTCGTGAAATTGATCGAGACCCGCCGTGATTGGTTGTTTGTGTTTTATTGTTAACCCAGATTAACTACAGTACGTCTGTCCGTTCTGTAGCTACGGGGTATCCGTGAGAGGGGAAACGATATTCTCTCGATGTTTCTCGTAAAAAATTAGACGAGGCGTCCCATCAATAAAAATTCAACAAATTCAGGCGCTTTTAAGAATCGAAAGTAGGTCGAGGCAAACCGAAGTAGGTCAAGACAACTGGAAATAAGTCGAAATGCGTTCAAAGTTGGGCGAGGTTTCTTTATTTGCATTATATGCCTCAGGACAATAAGGACTCAAGGAACCCAAAACATTATTAATACTAACCTTGCACATGCAACTCTCTAAGCCTACTTAGCTCCCCAATTTCTTTAGGTAGTTCAATAAGGTCATTTTCGCGAAGACCCAACTGAAAATAAGATACATTACTTTGTTGAAAATACTAGAAATAAATCATATTTTAATATATTTTCTACTTGAACGTTGCTCTAAGTACTAGACTAGAAATATTCACATCATCACCTTTAATATTTGTTAGGAAAAAATCATAGCATACTGTCTTCAACTTTCAAACAAAATAAAGGAATGTTTAACGAAAAATGAAGTACTGCAATAATTTATCGTCATATCTGATATACTATTTTTAAATAAACTAATACTTACAATTTCAAGATTCTTCAGGTTCTTAATTTCTGGAGGTAGTTTCTCAAAATCATTGTCTCCCAAGTAGAGAGCTCTTAGAGTTTCTAAAAACAATTAATATTACTTTAAGATACTTTTAGATATTAATTTTAAGATATCTTACGCATCATGAAGAAATTTCCTGGTAACAAATCTTCTTTCAAGTTATTATAAGTGAGATCCAGTATCTCCAGAACTGGAAAAGCACCAAAACCTCTTGGTAAAGTATCTAGCCTGTTTATTGATAGATTTAGAATCCTCAATTTTGGCATAGAAGATAGAGATAAGGGTAGTTCTTGTATTTGGTTATTAGCCAAATTTAGAATTTCCA